AGCGATGGCTCGCTCGGCATAGGCGCTCGACTTGACAATCGCGACCGCGATGGGGTGCGCGGCTTGCCAGGCGCGGGGGCGCTGCAAGGAGCTGAAGCGGCGGTGGCTCAACGCGACGTTCAAGCAGGAGGAGGGCGCCGCGTCGGGGCGCGCCGCGCCGCTGAAGCAGAGCCGCGGCGCCGACGGCTGTCTCTGGGTGCCCGGCAGCCGCGCGGGAGGAACCGCGCCGCGGTCCGAATTCAGTGGGCGCGGGGGGCGATGGGGAAAGGCGGGTCGAAGGCGAAGGATCGGGCTAGGCCCCGAGGGCGGTGTTGGACGAGAAAGGCGGGGGGTGGGGGGGCGGGCGGGGGGGGAAGGGGGGGGGGGAGGGGGGGGGGGGGGCAGGAGGGCCAGGAGGAGTGCGAGGGGGACGGAGGGGAATGGGCAGTGGGCAGAGGAGGAAGAGGGAGTAGAAGGAGATGGACGAGGGGGGGGGGGGAAGAGGAACACCTCTTCACCGTCGAGCTACAAGAAGGGGGCGACGATGAAGAGGCCCGACGATGTCGAGGGGTGCGCGGGCGGCCGCAGGATAAGCAGGGGACCAGCGCGGCGGCATCGCCAGCGCGCAAGGCAGAGAGCTTCGAGGAGAAGGAGACGGCAGGGGCAGAGGAGCCCCCCGCGCGGAGGCGCCGGATGGAGGCGCGGCGGCAGCAGGCGGCGGCCGCGTGCTGCCCGACAATTATCACCGAGCGCACGAAGACGATGGGCCGCAAGTCCAGCGGGGGCGCCACCTCGAGCTTAGACGGCGCGGACTGCAGCACGCAGAGCCCCGTCATCAGGGGCCCGAGCAGCGCGGCGAGCAGCGGGGGCACGGCTGATGCCATCGACTTGGAGGGGGACTGCGACTCCACCGCGGCCGCGCGGGCCGACGCGGCGATGCCCGTGGGCCTGTTCGACGCGCGGCGATGTCAGCCTGGGCCTGGCAGGCGGCGGTGAGCCGTTCGATCCACGGGCGAGGATCGGCCTGGGCCAACTTTGGGGGTCGCCGATTGGAGGGGTCGGGCGCCCAGCGAGGCAGCTCAGATCCAGAGAGCGCGCCTGTGTTCCTCATTGGGGCACGGCGCCGTTGGATCGGCGCAAAGCAGTATGGGTGCGAGCGCGCGCGCTCGCCGCTGGTTCAAAATCGGCGCCCCGGGATTTGAACTGCAAGGTCGAGGAAGCAATGGGGGGGGGGGGGGGGCGGCGAGGGGGAAGCGGGGCGGGGGGGGGGGGGCGGGGGGGGAGAGCGGCGGGGGGGGTCTCGAGGAGGGTTGGGCGATCTGATGGTGGCGGCGGCCACCCGACAGGCTCGTCAGACGCCGTCGTCCGCGTTTTTGTCGCGCGGCCGCGGGGGGCCGCGGGTGTCGCCCTCCTCCTCGCTCTCCACCCTCCCTTC